ATAAACAAAAAATAAAATAAAATATTAAAATTAAGATATATTTTATTTCATTATACGAATATCCTTCTGATTTATTTAAAAGTTAAATAAAAAAATATTATTTATTATTTATTTGATGATTAGACAAACTTCCCTATTATCTTAAATTATCTATTAAAAAGTAATATTTTATTTATTATTTATTTGATAATTAAACAAATTTCCCCTTCATCTTAAATCATCGCCCCCAAATCTCCAATGGAATTAGTCGGTCAAAACAAACCAAATACAACTCTAGTTTCAGGTCAAACTTATTCTAATTTTTATTTTTTGCAAATTTAATATATATATATATATATATATATATATATATATATATATAAAGATTGAGTTATTATGTAATCGTTTACATTTGTATAATCAATATAACTCAATATCAATTGTCCATTTAATTTGATGAATATATGATTTCATAAAAGTTTTGATTGTTTCATAATATAAAATATTGATCATAATTAATAAACTATAGTCATCTTTCATAAATATTCAAAACATAATAAATGAATTCTTATCATTTTCATAAATATATTAATTGATTGAGTTGTATTGATTGTATAAATGGTTATAATGATACATGTTACGATGTTTATATATATCCATTTTATAACTTAGACTTCTCATTCTCAACTCGTTACCTTTTCTCTTTTAAAATGTACAAGCTGATACATTTAGTAGTAAATTTCAGAAGCCTCTAAGGCCTTGTTTCAGTTGTTTGTTTTTTATAAAAAAAAACTCTTATTAGTTTTTTATGTTTGATTCGTTAAAAGATAAGATCATTTAAACTGTGTGTTTCTTTTAATTTTTATTTAAAAAAAATAAAAAAAATATTATTCACAGTAAATTTAATAAAATAAATAAAGGAGGAACGTGAATTGATGGTCGTGGTCAGAGGAGACGGATAGGGAACGAGAAAAGCCCACGCAGATCGCATGTTGATTTGCCTCCATGACGTCACCCTCTTTTCTTGACCGCATTTTTAATTTCACCACATAAATTATTTTATTTTATTTTGATAAATATAACTTATTTTATATATTATTTATACTATATTATAGAGTATTTGACAAAAACTCATAAAAATCATTTTTTATACATGAAGTACTGTATATTGATGCATATTACTTAAAATTCAAGATTGCAAAATTCAAAAATAAAAACATCATCACTTTTTCAAAATCATATAAGATCATACTATAACATCGACCGAGATAAAAGAATAAAATAAAATATAAAAATCAAGATGTATTTCGTTACATTGCACGAGTACCCTTCTATTTTTTATTAATTTATTGAAACGTTACTTTGAAATGGTTAATAAGAAGTTTTTTTCAATTATAACTTTAATTGATATTAATTAATATTTATTATTATTAATTATTAATAAATGTTAATTAATATTAATTTCAATTTATAATTAATTTAGTTGTTTTCGAATA